TTTCACGGAAGAAAACTCTTACAAATCAGAATAACCAGGAATACTCTGAAAAAGTAGGCATACTTTGGGTTGTAAATTGACTGTTTTTTGAGGCAATCTCTTGGTGGGAGAAAGTTCTGCCCTGGAGCTTCTAAGCATAATGAACTTGTCCTACAGGGTGCCTGGTGAAGAAGAAGTAGGAGGTTATGATTGCATTTCTAATGAGCTCATGTTCTCCAAGCTATACCTGGGCCTCTTTGAGCCACAGCTGGAAAAACTGGGATTCAAGGAGCAGTGTCCTGAGGCTGCACAGGGCCCTAGGCCTGACCCAAGAAAGCATTCTGTCCTCCTAGACCTCTGGGCCTATGATGAGAGGGGCTGCCATAAATGTCTTAAGGTCTTAAATGTCTTTAAGGCCTTTTCATTATCTTGGCTATTGGCAATTGGCTCCTTTTTACTTACACATATTTCTGCAGGCTGCTTGAATTTCTCCCCTAAAAATGGGCTTTTCTTTCTACCATATGGCCAGGCTGCAAATTTTTCAAACTTTTATGATCTGCTTCTCCTTTAAATATAAGTTCCAACTTTAAGTAATTTCTTTGCTCACACAAATGAGTGTAGGTTGTTAGAAGCAGCCAGTTCACTTCTTGAATGCTTTGCTCTTTATAAATATCTTCCTCCAGATACCCTAAATCGTTATTTTCAAGTTCGAAGTTACACAGATTTTTAGGGCAGGGCACGATGCAACCAAATTCTTTGCTTAGGCATAACTCATGTCACCTTTGCTACAGTTCCCAATAAGTTCCTCATCTCCATCTGAGACCTTGTCAGCCTGGCCTTCACTGTGCCTATCACTACCGGCATTTTGGTCATAACCACTCAAGCAGTCTCTAAGAAATTCCAAACTTTTTCTCACCTTCCTGTCTTCTGGGCCTTTCACACTCCTCCAACTTCTACCTGTTACCCAGTTCCAAAGCTGCTTTCACACGTTCAGGTATCTTCACAGCAGGGCTCCATTGTTGGTACCAAATTTCTTCATTAGCCCATTCTTGCGCTGCTATAAAAAAAATCTGAGACTGGGTGATTCATAAAGAAAAGAGATTTGATTGCCTCCCTGTTCTGTAGGCTGTATAGGAAGCATAGTAGTTTGTGCTTCTGGAAGCTTCCAATCATTTGGCAGAAGACAAAGGGAAAGCAAGGTGTCTCATGGAAAGAGCAGGAGCAAGATAGGGAAGGGAAGTTCTACCTACACACTTTAAAACAACCAGGTCTTGTGAGAATTTTACCATGAGGACAGCACCAAGGAAATGGTGCTATAATAAATTATTCATGAAGAACTCACCCTTATGATCCAATCACTACCCACCAGGCCCCACTTCCAATATTAGAGATTATAACTTGACCTGAGATTTGGGTGAGGACACAGATCCAAACCATGTTGTCTCAGTGGAAGTAGGTGATAGTAGGAAAGAGAAAAGAAGAGAGAAAAAATAATTCAACTCTCTTTTAGAAAAATAGGGGTACTGGTTACAGCCTCACCAGAAGCTGAGCTGATGCTGGCACCATGCCTCCTATGTAGTCTGCAGAACCATAAGCCAATTAAACCTTTTATCTTTATAAACTTATAAACTACCCAGCCTCAGGTGTTCCTTTATAGCAGTGCACACATGATCTAACACCAGAAATTGTATTAATAGCAAAGAGTGAGGTGTTGCCATAAAGATACCTGAGGATGTGGACGTGGCTTTGGAGTCAGGGAATAGGCAGAGGCTGGAAAAGTTTGGAGGGCTCAGAAAAAGATAGATATGGGAAAGTTTGGAATTTCTTAGAGACTGGTGAAATGGTTATGACCAAAATACTGATAGAGATAGGGACAGTGGAGGCTAAATGGAGGTCTCAGATGGAAATGAGGAAGCTTATTGGAAACTAGAGTAAAGGTCGCCCATGTTACACCCTAGAAAAAAAAAACTTACCTGCATTTTGTCCATGTCCTAGGAATCTATGGAAGTTTGAACTTAAGACTGATGATTTAGGATATTGAGTGAAAGAAATTTCTAAGCAGCAAAGTGTTCAAGATAGGGCTTGGCTGCTTATAAAAACCTTAGATTAGATGTGGGAACATATAAATGACTGGAAATTGGAATTTACATTTAAAGAGTACCCTTGTGCCAGAGAAAGTAAAGTCCCTTTCAGGAGAGGAATCCAACCAGGCTGGGGAGCAACCATTTGCTAGAGAGATTAGCATGACTAAAATGGAGTCAAGTGCTAATATCCAAGACAATGGGGAAAAGACCTCAAGGCATTTCCGTAGTCTTCCAGACAGTCCCTTCCTTCATAGGGCCAGAGGCTTAAGAGGAAATGTATGGTTCTAGGGGTCAGGCCCAGGGCACTGCTGCCTTGCTTAGCCTGGGGATGCTGCTCCTTGCATTCTGGCTGCTCCAAATACAGTATCAGCTCAGAGGGGCTCAGGTGCAACTCAGGACACTTCTCTGGAGGACACAAGCCATAAGGCTTGGTGGCTTTTATGTAGTGTTAAGCCTGCAGGCACACAGCATGTAAGAGTAAAGGGGGCTTGGAACCTTCTACCTAGATTCCAGACAATGTATCAGAAAGTCTAGGTGTTCAGGCAAAAGATACAATGGTTGGCCTGAAGTAAGCTCTCTGTAAACATCACTTCTTATTCTCTCACAGGACTGCTATGGAAAGGAGAATATGAAAGCTACTGATGCAGAGCAGGCCTTCAATGAATGTGCATGTCCTCTGCTGTCTCTTCTTCCAATTCCCATATCACCTACCTAATAATAGGCTTCATTGCTGGCAAATGTTCCCTGTCTTCTCAACAAAGTTTCAGAATCATCTTTCCTGACAGTGTGCCACCATAAAGGAAAATACACCTCAAAGGTGTAAATAGTGACAAATGACTTGTTGTCTCAAAGGCCGTTTACCCTCCTTATACTAAATTTCTCTAATAATCGTAAGCCACAGATTTAGTCTTGAGCTGCTCTGCTACAAGACAGTAGAATTATAAATGCAACTTAAGAATCTCGATCAAATTCTATTGCACATTAACAATTACACTCAGTAATTTAAAAATTCCTGGTGACCAAAATTTAAGATATGCAAATTAATTAATTGACCAATGCTTTTTAGCTCTCCTTTTTTCTCCCTTCTTGATGTTAATGTTTGCATTGACTGGATCTTCTTACTTCAATCTAAGGAGAAATCATGTCTCAGAGTGTGTCATAGATCACTAATTTGCTCAGCAGTTATTCGGCGCCTGCTAAGTGCAAAGCATGATGTTGGTCTCTATGCACAGTACAAGAAAAACTGTATAAAAGTCATGACTTTGCTTTAAAAACTGAATAACACAAAGTAAACCAAAAATTGGAACAAGAAAATAAGATGTAATTACTTCCAGTCTTTTCAATTTAGAATTTTCCTATGAAAAAAGAGATTAGTATGCCAAAAATTTATATCATAAAACAGACAGGGAATGCTAACCTACTTTAGATACTGAACTTCACAGTTTTTGAAACACCCAGCTACACTATACATAAATAATGCAGGGTGATTATTAATTATTCTTATCTTTTCAATAAGGGAAAACTAAACATGTTTACTATGCTATATTTTATAGGCAGAGTTTAATTAACATTTGGAGATATAAATCTCACTTTTGAATAATATAACATATAATTCAAGTCTTGTTTGGAGCCTAGAGGGGCAGATCAGTGAGGCATGAGGAAGTTTTACTTTTGTGCACTATCTTGTTTTTTCCACAGTCCTTCAATATGGCTGCCATTGTTCACACCTTATAGGCAATACAGAAAGGGCTTAGGAAGAGAGGGCCCTAGCTCAAGTCTCCCTGGACAGTAAACAACCACATTTTGGGTTTGCTTGCTGCAAGGCACATGCCCTTGGCCCTCTTCACCCCAGTAGCCAGTTCTGCTTGCACTTACACCGTAGGTGTGAGTGAGACAGAAGGCTAAGGCTAGGCATGCCCATGCCACAGTGTCACCAATGGCCACAGGGGAACCCAACTCTTTGCAGTGGCCTCCTAAGAACAGAGAACTGAAAAACAGGCCATGATTTCAGATCTTAAGCCCTTAGAAGAAAGTGCTTCTGGTTAAGGAGAAGAAATCTACTTTTCAGCCTTTGCAAATGATCACTCAGCTATGCAGCATTTTTTTAGGACTGCCTTTATTTACACTATTTCATGACATTTCACACCCTAGCTTCACCTGAGCTGTCCTTCTGAAATCTCCTCTCTTCTTAGGAGTCTGTGAGTTATTCTGAAAAGGTTGTGTCAAATAAAAATTTTGTTATGCATGTCTGTTATCCAGAAAAATCTGACTAATTTTTCATTCAGACACTAATCATTTTGGAAATACCAGGGCAACTGGGAGGAATTTCCAGGTTGAACTCCACAGAATAAGACTATTTAATCCATTCCTGTTCATTTCCCATGCTGTAGACTTTCTGTGCCCTCCTCCATGACCTACGTAATCTCTCTTCCAAAAAGCAAAGGAGCCTCTAGTTAATATGGTCAGGAAAATATGCAAAAGAATCTGGGAAAGAAGGGATGTAGATATAACCTGATTCTGTAAGTATCCATCCATCTCTTTGAATAAAAAAAATAGGAAAATGGGTCCCTGTCATGAAAAGAATATAAGATAAACTCCTGTATTTCTTTCTTTTTGTTCTCTTCATTTCTCCATGACAGCAGTAGTAATAGTGGCCACAACTTCAAGAGAAATCTCATCTTTCCAGCCAGTGAATTGGGAAAGTATACCCCATGGAGCCAGAGAGTAAAAAAAAATATTGCAAAAGGGGGAATGGGAAAAAGAGATCCCCGAATTCCACATATGAATTGATACAGTCGCAGGTTCACCGCAGACTGTGCATGTGCGCACCCAAAGAAGCACAAGCTTTGAGAAGTGAATACCATAGAAGCCACTGCCCACATCCAAGACTAAACCTTGCTGCAGCATATGTGAGAAACAGATCCAAACAGACTTTGAACATGGAACGGATATTGGAACCACTGTTCACAGAAGATAAGACAGGTTTATTATCTGCTTAAAACACAAAAACCAAACAACAGAAAATCTATGTTCTCCAGAGGATTTTAATAAGACCCAAAGCTTCACAGCATAATATACAAAATGTTCAGGCAAAATCCAAAATTACTAGACATACTAAGTACCAGAAAAATCTGACCTACTCTCTTTTTTTTTTTTTTTTTTTTTTTTTTGAGACAGAGTTTCGCTCTTGTTACCCAGGCTGGAGTGCAATGGCACAATCTCGGCTCACTGCAATCTCCACCTCCTGGGTTCAGGCAATTCTCCTGCCTCAGCCTCCTGAGGAGCTGGGATTACCAGCACGTGCCACCGTGTCCAGTTAATTTTTTGTATTTTTAGTAGAGACAGGGTTTCACCATGTTGACCAGGATGGTCTCGATCTATTCACCTTGTGATCCACCCGCCTTAGCCTCCCAAAGTGCTGGGATTACAGGTATGAGCCACCGTGCCCGGCCCAAATCTGACCTACTCTCAAGTAAAAGGTGCTGGCCAGGCGCAGTGATGCACACCTGTAATCCCAGCACTTTTGGAGCCTAAGGTGGTGGATCACCTGAAGTCAGGAGATTGAGGACCAGCCTGGCCAGAATGGTGAAACCCCGTCTCTACTAAAAACACCAAAATTAGCCAGGCCTGGTGCCGCGCTCCTGTAATCCCAGCTAGTTGGGAGGCTGAGGCAGGAGAATCACTTGAACCCAGGAGGCAGAGGTTGCAATGAACTGGGATTGTACCACTGCACTACAGTCTGGGCGACAAAGTGAGACTCCTCCCCCCCCCCAAAAAAAGGATGCCAACTCTGAGGTGACCCACATGTTTAAACCTTTCTTCATGAGGTAAAGCTGAGGTAGGGCACACTTCAGGGAAGGAAGAGAGGGAAGAGAACTGAACTGCTTGCTCTTTCTCATCTCCTGTATCCGTCAGTCAAAGTTTGCCGACAAAAAATTAACTCGTCTGCACTTTTTTGGTTGTATCACATAGCCCCTTTGGAAGCCCCTAAGCAAGCAAGAGATCACGTCCTAAATCAGAGGTCAGGAAACTTTTTCTATAAAGTGCTGGGTAGTAAATTTTAGCATATTTACAGTCCATGCAGTTTCTTTCATAACTGCCCTGTTCTGACATTATAGTGCCAAAGCAAATATATGCAATACATAAATAAATGGGCATGATCGTGTTCTGATCAAACTCTATCTACCAAAACAGGTGGCAGACTAGATTCAAGGCACAGGTCACAGTTTGCTGACCCCTGTCCTCTAGGGTGACTCTTCCTCCAAATTAAGAAGTAGCAGGGAGATCTAGAGACTTCAGGATGATGGTGTACATGGTAAAACCACCGAAGCCTATGATTGAGGCCATTTGTCATCTCCTTTGCCATGGCAGTGTTGGATGGGATATGATGCTAATAGACTAGATGTCTGTAAGCCCTGAGATGGGGAAGGCACTGTGGATAAATCCATACCAGGAATGTCACTTCAAGGGTAAATGGTTACCCTCTCCAGAGTAGAAAAGATCTAAAATAATGAATATGCCACTAAGTGTCCGGGTGGTCTTTCCAAGGATGGTGTCATATTGCAGGCTCTGTGTTGATCATTGCTGGTGGTTATTTGGCCTTTATCGGTAGCAGTAGCTACACAATCCTTGATGAAGAGAGCACATTTGGGTCTATACAAGGCTTCCATTCCTGCTACCATGGCCACTCTGTTAGCCCACTGCAGAATCACTAGAAAAGCCAAAAAAACAAAAACAAAACAGACAAACACACTGATTAGTACCCATAGGATGAAACATTCTGACGACCTGGCTATTAATAGATTTTTCTGCAGTTGATTTCTTTAAGGGTAGGCACCAATAGGACATCCAAATGTCTATACAATTATGCTCATTCTCACAGAACCATCCATGGACCTCTTTCCCAGACCCCCTAGTCACTGATTTTCTGGTCTTGTTCTTTTCAGTCCCCTCCTCAAGCATCCATTCACCACTGCTCTTGAATCAATGTCTATCCTTCAAGCTGCCTCTTTCTCCATATAAAATCATGGTAAGTCTATTGTACACAGCTCTGTCCACTACAGAATTTCCCTTCACCCTTTTCCTTCACCACCATTTCAGGTCAAACCTGCGTGGTGCTGTAATATAGCGGCTGCTCATTTACAACTAGCACCAAAATATTGCTCAGACTCATCAGTGAATTGGGCCATAATCCTTTAGACCTTCATTAGTCAATTGTGGAAAATCTCTCATTTGTCAAAGTAATGATGAGTGAGGGAGAGGCATCAATGTAATTTTAGTAGTTAATACAGGGATCTGGGCCATCTGATTTTGTAATTTATTCATTCTTTAGGAGGTACTGGAGCCTTGTCTCCAATAAACTCCTTTCATTATACAGTGATTTGCTGTTGTGCCTGCTCTACTACTTGGTTGAGTGGACCTGGTGATATCCAAACCATAAAGAGCATCTCAGTTCATAGATGCACTTGGCACTCATGATTAGGTGTGAGGTCTCCAGTGGGAAACATTTAAATGGCAGGAGCTGTTTTTCAAACATTATAATTCTCTGCTGAAGAAGGCATGGCCTGCACCAGAACTCTATGGATCTGCCCACAGCTCATTTTTAATGACTTTCCAGAAACTGCATACATTATCTTTATCTGTCCAAATCATTAGCCTCCACTGAAACTGTAGCTCGTTGAGTCCAGACATGCTGTAGAACCCTATTTTTGCCCTGGGCCTTGTTTGAAGTCTTCTGAGTCAACCCATGAATGAGTTTCAGAAAGATTCCCAAGCATAGTATATGCTTCCTCCAAAACCTAGAATGAGATAAAGATGTTGTGCCTCATCGCAAATGATAGGAAGTGAGAGGTGCACAACTTGTCTTTTACACTAGAGCAAATGCCCCAGCACATCCTTCACTACTGGACACCTGAAAACTTCACCGATGGGGCAGACTTAAATCTTCTTTTTTCCTGTCTCCCAGCTTAGGGCATGTATATTTCTTACTAGGGCAGCTAGTGTACACTCCACTTCTAGTTCATCCAGTCCACTTAACATATTATCAGTACAGTGAACCAATGTGATATTCTGTAGAATGTCAAGATGATTCAAGTATCTAGACTAATTAAAGCCTTACAGCAATACAGTAAACATATACTGATATCCTCTTCATGTAATGACATGCTGCCTTTGATTCTCCCCATTGATGCGTATCCAGAAGAAAGCATTCACTAAATCCATAGCAGTAGATTATGGACCAAAGGATATGTTGAAATTTTCTACTGAATACACTACATCTGGCCTAACAGTTGTGATTGTGACGTTGCTTGGTTAAGTTAATGATACTCCACTTCCCTAAGTATTCTGATATATTCCTTAACACCAGGGAAATCTGGACATCTTTCACTTCATTTTTATAGAGGTCATCATCATGTTCAATATTCCAGATCCTTTTCTAAAGAATATTGAACAAGCTCCAGATATCCTTGCAAAATCACTGAAGTTCAAATCATGGTGCCTTCCCCATATCAATACATTCTTCTCTATCCAGCCTATATTCTGTGCCTTCCATCCCTCTCTCAGCACAACATTCTCAGGATCCATTTTCATACAATGTGTTCTTCTGGAGCTTGTCAGTATACATCAGCCAGATCAAATAATTCTCTTGATATGTAAACTATTCTTATTTCCAAAAGCAGAGCTCGTACTTTCTCACTTGGACTGTGCTGACTTCTGACTCTGTTTATTGGCCTGGAAAAAATGAGAAGTGACAGGGAAGTTACTGAGAAGAATAAGCACCATTGAATGGCATCCAGGCAAGGTGGGCTGTTTGTCTAATGGAGAAAGCACAGAGAACTTGGGAGTTTAAAATTCTCAGGTTCACTTGTGCTGATCTCCTCATTCTATGTCTTAGTCAGGGCCCCAGTTTTCACACAAGAGGCCTGTCCATTATACATATATAACTATACTTTGCAGGAACTGGGTTTTATAATCAGATCCTAAGCCTGATTTTTCATCACAGTCTACCTGGAAACTTTAGGAGCTAAGAGTTTCTTTTAAAGACACTAAAGAGAGATTTTCATAGTGTACAATTATAAGCCCTGGGACCAACACTTTCCTTTTTGCAAGGAGTATAGTACAGTCACATTACTCCAAAATATATATAATTATCATTGTTCTTATACGGATGAAATGCCACAATTACCAGATCTCTCAACGCCTTGCTTTTCACATGCTCCTCACCTCAACCAGCTGCAAGTGAATGCCTGAGGACTTGCGACATCACTGCATACCAGGGGTTCTTAACAACCCATTTACTACTTGCATTGCAGTCCTTATTATTTGATTTCTGATCCGTGGGCAGTCAAACTCCAAATCTTACTGAGGGCCTGCTTTCTAGAACCATTTCTGAAACAAACTCTTAGCCCAAGTGTCCAGAAAACAAAGTCTGCCCCAAAGATTATGTGTGAATATATTTCTTAGAGCCCAGGGCAGTGAAAATAATGGAATACAGAGTTGAAGCACAAGGACGGAAAGCAATAGAAGGTAACGCGTTACCACTGGGACACTAGTTCACAATGAGCCATGAAGAGATTTAGCCAATGACTCACCAGCTTCACCTGCCCAGTCATGCAGGAAACCTCCATACACGCTTTTCCTTGGAACCACATGCTGTAGGGAGGAAAATAGGATTTGTCTGATGGCTCCCTCCTACCTGCCACTCTTAAAACACTGCTACAAAGACTTGTTTCTGAGTTGTTTTTCTTAGTCTTTTCAGCAGTGTATGGGAAACTCTGCAGTGTGTACCTCATCAGTGTCTAGAAGTGACGGTAGGAGCTGGACACTCTGTGATTGGTTGTCCTCAGGCAGTGGAGCCAAGTGGACTAACAGGGAGACACCTGTCCACAAGAGTGGCTTAGGGTTAGTGGACACTTACTGCACCCCTGGGCATTGTGCAGGATCTTGGGAATACAACAGGAATATTTTCTGTGATCAAAAAACTTTGCCTCGTGAAGATAACAAATACAAACGCTTTGTAAAATCCTAGTTTTAAAAAATCATGTGGCTTCCTAGAGGTAAAGTCCAGTCATGTCTAGAGATTTGGCAGATATTCCTGACAGCAGTGACTTAAGCATACCCTGAGAATAACCCTATGGTCTAAACACAATGTCTGTTTGGAGTTCTGAGCGAGGGAATCTGGGAGTGACCAACCTGCAGATTCATTCCTCATCTATGAGGAACATCTAAACCCCTGGCCCATGCCATGGAATGCAGGCCACACAGGGAGTCAAGGCCCTTTGTTTTAGGTTAAATGAAGGCTGCTAGGTGGAAGCTGCCTGGGGAAGGATGTTAAGTGAAAAATGCTAGATAAACTGCATGCTTTTTACAAACAGTAGTGGTCCTCCTGTCCAGTCTGCTGCTACTGGACTGCCTTGTATGTAAGTCCCCTCAAAAAACCCCAGGCCTCATTTGCTAGCTCTGGGCCTCTTCTTTGGCCTCCCAAACATGGTGCCATCCCTTTTGAAATCAGTAGGAGTCCAGCATGACAAGTTCCCAGAGGAAAAGGTCATAAACTGCATTCAGTTTTGTAAAGCCAAAGTCTTTAGTTAGAAAGGAAACAAGAGTTCGTTTAGCTAGCCCTTTATTCAATCACCTAATTAAGCTTCTATTATCTTGAGACCCAGAGAAGTTAAACATCATCCCACTCCCCGTCTGTCCCATTCTGCATAACATATTCTAGTATCATTAGCCATGCACTTTCCAAATCAAAGGTATTACACAACCTGAGATTTTGTAAATAGCATTTGCTGCCCTTCTGTATGAGTCAGGATTGACTAGCATACACTGCAGTATCAACTCCGGAATTTTATGGCTTTAAACAACAAAGGTTTGTTTGTGTTCATGGTAGTCATTCGAGGACCCAGACTGATGGACTGTTTATTTTAACACAAGCTTCTACAATTTCTGTAGCCGTGGAAAGGGAATATGGTAAATCACATATACGTGTTTAAAGCTTCTGCCTAGAAATGACATATATCACTTTCACCCACGTGTCATTGACTCAAGCATGTCATGTGACTATACTTACATGTAAAAGGACAAGGACAGGCTATTCTACCATGTACCAGAAAGGGGGAAGAATCCAAAATACTTAATGGTTAGCATTAATGACTAGCACCTGCCTAAAAGCTTTTTTCTACCATCCTAATTCCTATTCAAGCTCAGAGATTCAGCTCAGATGTTATCTATTCAGAGAAGCCTCCTTGGTGTGTGCTTCCCACCTGCAGCGTGGGTGAAAAGACCCTATCTGTGCTTCAGACTTCATACACTTACTTCCATTATTGCACAGACAATATGGCACAGACATTCTCCACTTGTCCATCTCCCACATAGGACTGAGTGTTCCCCAAGGACAACAACCACTTTTTACCACCGTGTGCTCAGCACCCAGCACAGTACCTGCTACATAACAGACACTCAAATGAGTGTTTTTGTTGAACTGAGCAAAGCTGGGCGACCGCACTGAAAATAAAACTTCCTTTGTGTAAGAATCCATTGTGCCAGAGCTAACTGAAACACCGTGCAGTGTTTTAAACATTTTTCAATGCCAGACTCTCCTTTCCTGTTGTTGATCAAATTACAGTGACATATTCAGGTGATAAAAAGAGCTCCCCTTAGGCAGAAACTAAATATAAACTTTCTAGAAAACTCTTGCCTTCATCTGTTTCA